TGAACCCACACTGAAGTGTTTTTATATATGAGAAAGCATGTAACCTATGTAGTTATAAGATTATATGTTATAAGATTGTGCCACTTGCTGTGTAAGATTTAATAATTAGGATTAATGTGTGATGTTTGACCGTGTCATGACCTATTGTGATAAGCCAGAGCAAGGGGTAGTCAGAGTCCTGACTGGCCTTTGGCCAAGACCTTGGCCGCTACCTGACCCCTGCAGCTGTGTTTGGATGGGTGGGAAAGTTACCCAGCAGCAGGGGGCGGGGATACTGGTCCCTATATATTAGATGACCAGAGGACACCCCCAGCTCGTTTTTCCCCTCTGCTGTTTCTCTCTGTCCGTCTCTGTGTTGCTCTTTTGTCTGTGCTTAAGGCTGTACACCCCAGGGTTTTGCTTTGCTTGCTTTCTGCTATGTAATTCTCTTGCTAAATGTCTGTATGTATTTTTCCTGCTGTTCATATGATTCATTGTATTAAACTCTGTTCCAAGAATTCTACTCTTTTCCAGAGCATATTTTTAAGTGTCTTGATTTTAATTGGATCTAAAAGGGTTGGATCTCCACATCGTTGGTGGGAGAAGGTTATCAGGATGGCTTCAAAATTTGCCACCACAGCACCAGTGCAGGGTCTGAGACCCGGTTCTGGATTTCACCCCAATACTCGAAGCTGATCCGGGTGCTGTTGTCTAGAATATAGACGTCTGTGTGTCCCTGACCCACCATCAAACAGTCAGGCTGATGTTCCTTTACTGCTTTTAAGCAGTTTATTTCGTTTATTTAACAAACTTCTTCTTTTTTTTTTGAGAAACATAAAAAAATACTCAGTGTGCGAAAATGATCATTAAAAATAACTTAATGTAAATAAACTGAGCTGAGTGCTGACTGCATGAAACTCATCCTGCAGCAGCCAGCTCGTGTTCACAGAAAAAAAGACACAAATTCGATCACGAGCTCTACTTTGTTATTTCTGCAGATGAAGCACAAATCTTGTGTGTTGCAGCATCCTGGGGAAGTGAAAGCAAGGCTAAGCTAGGTTAACGATTACATTTGGTACAGGATTACAGTTACAGACTTCAGGAAATGAGGGTTAAATGAATTAAAAAGTAGTTTTTGAAAAGTGGTTGCAATACATCTTAGATCTGATATTATGAAGAGTACAAACTCACATATCTTCCTCTAAAGTCGCCACAGTCAGTTGACACCTGGGCGAGTCCCGGTGGCAGCGTCTGGGCTATGTAACCCAGGTAGGCGGCCAGAGCGAGCAGAGCGAGCACGCCGAGGCAGATGAGGAAGATGCAGCGTTTGGACAGGACCAGGAAGGGGCTGATGTAGTGTCTGTGACGCACATACTGCACCTCCTCCTCATCCTCCTCCTGTACCAAGTAGCGGTACTCGGTCCTCTCTGGAACCTCGAATGCATCCTCATTCATCTTCACTCTGGGTCAGGAAACGGAAAATGATAATGACTTCACCTCAGACCAGATCAGATCTCGTCTGCATGAGGGGGACACGGGAATTATGGTCCGTCCAAAATGCATGTTTACAGGTTAGACATCACCAAAACACACTCCTCACACATCAGGAAGATTTCTATCTGATGCTTCCAGCACCACAGTCACTGGGATGATATTAGTCATGTAATGAGCAGTGCCTGCTGTATAACAAATATGTGCTTTAGTTCTCCACAAAAAATAAAGAGCAGCTTGATCAGAAGCCTTTAATTGAGTTTCGCTCAAAACCAGCTGTTGTATATCTTCTATATAAAGTAGCTCCGGTCCAGCTAACCCGACATCTCTGCAGAGAACTTCTGAAACATTCTTCCAGGCTTTTGTCAAGCTCTTGATTTAGAACCTGATTACGAAGTTACCCATCGGGGTGGATGACATTCTTAGCTTTAAAAACCATTTCTAAACTTTTTGTTTATACCCTCACTCTCACTGCCTCATAAACAAGCTGAAGCCTCCATTTATGGCTCTAAAAATGAGACTCCCATGTAAAAATACCCGACTATAAAGCACTACAGAGAAAGTTTACAGCCTGCTACAAAAATACAAACTGTTTATTCTGTTCACAGCAGCTGTAAACGAGGTAAACGAGGTCATTGAACTGGAACTCGCTGTTTGTGCTGCTGGTGCCCGTTGGAGCCTTTTAATGTAATTATCAGACTGATCTGCTGTGTGGTACAGACAACCCAAGACATCTGTACTTCGGTTGTGGTCAGTGTTTTATTAGTCTGTCACTCAGCACTTACAGTATTCAAGCACAGTTTATGGCTGGAGCTTGCTAATCAGGGTAGTTAACATTCAATTCCATTCAATTTTATTTATATTTTAGCGCCAAATCACAACAAAAGTCGCCTCAAGGCATGAATCGATAACTTGGCAGTCCATGCTTTCATCCAATTAAGACTCCAAATAACTGAAAAAAATAAAAACACACATGAAGGGTGGAGCTTAAAACTTGGAAGCCAGAAACAGATGAGTGATGTCACAGTGGCCCCAATCCTTCTTTTATGTACAGTCTATGCATACATCAGGGTCAGCAGCTGTGCTACAGAGGGAACAGCTGATTTTACTGATATGCAGTGTGAATTGTGGCACCTTGTGTATTGTTCTTTGTGCGAATTCTAACCAATCTGTTCAGTTTACCTCAGGACCAGCTGTACAACGTTCCCTCCACATTCCCCCCATTCCACATTTGTTCCCACCAGTTTACAAAATAACAAGAAACATCAGGAAGAAATGTGCCGATGAACAGAACTACTTCTACACAAACTCCAAAATGACCAACAGACAGAACATACAGCAGCTGGAGTTGACTGAAATGCAGAATACAGACTGCTCAAATCAAAAATAAGATTTTATATCCATCAAAACTTTGTTATCGCCGGTATTTTTCATACGTTCAAATAATGAGAAGAACTTCTACTTTGTGACAGGCTTCTAGTAACAACAGTCTAGTAAGTGCCTAAAGACACGATAACAACTTGGTTTGACTGGTTGAAGTGAAAATGAGTGAAAAAGCAGCCAATTCCCAAAGAAACACGCGAAAGCCTGGAGAACTACTGCTGAACATTAAACAAACACGAAACAGAAGAATATGAAGACATGAGGAGCGGCTGTCCGACACCAACGAAAAAAACTGTGCGGGAACAATAACCGGACGTGCCAGAATTAATCAGAGCTGCCAACAGGTTACAGCGACTTCAACGTGTAGGCTCAGCGTTTCAGCTGCTCGGGTCACAGATTTCTCTCACAATTAACCCAAAAAGAAGACGAGAAGCTAAAAGAGCGATTTTGTCTGACGTTAATATGCTGTCAGCGCTTTTCGCCACAATGCACTTTTCCCTCAGCTGCAAACAAGTTGTTCAAATGTTATAAACAACTTGTTGGGCTGAAATCTGTCAAACTTGTTTCTCAGGATTAAGCCTCAAACAACATTCGTGTCACAGGTTAGATCCTGCACTCAGTTTTCAGCAGTGACTTTTATGCATCCCTGTTTTTTTTAATCCGGGTACAAAGTGTCACAGTGACATAAATAACGCATAAAAACAAAACCCTTTATGGCAGTCGATGACTTTTGGGCATAACACCGTTCCTGCCCTCAATCTAAACTTCCTCTCGCTCGACAGATTTATTACTAACGCCTCAGATAACTGCAGAAGAAATTAACATCGCAGTTTCTTAACTTACCATGTCCTATAAACTGCCAAAGAACGCAAGAAAGCACAAACTCTCCAAAAACCTCAACAGTTGACGCGTTTAGTTCTCCAGTGGGCGGAGCGCGGACATTCATGGACATTTAAAGGGACACGAAACTTAGAATATACGGGAAAATAAATAAATAAATAAAATGATTTAAAAATCGGCCCTGATTAGCTAATCACAATGGTTAAACTAACATACACCCCAAACTCCGTCTGTGGATTTCCACATTATCACACAGGTGTTTGTTAATAGGATCGTTTGTGATTACTAGTGCGGGCCAGCAATACCATGTGTAACTGTATTAAATGCAGTAATATATTACAGTAACATACCAGGTATAAAAGGTTAACCATCAAACCATGCTGACTTGTGCTACAACCAGACCATTTCAGTTTCTGTGCAGGGACGAGGAAAATGGATATTACATGTATTTTTATTGCACACAAAAAAAGAAAGACGAGACTGCAGTGGAGAAACGCAAACTGTGGACAGAAAGAATTGCATGATTTACTAACACAACTTCAGTAAAGCGTGTGAGTTATCATTGTTCATGTGCTGTTTGTTTTTAGAATAGTTTTTGTTCCCTAAGAAAATACATAAATTTTTCTTGTATTTTGATTAGTGGAGATGTAATATCGCTTGGACTCCATAGGATTTTAAGTGGGCCACAGCACTCTTGACTTTGGGAATGGCTGATTTAAAGTATAATAAGAAAGTTTGTCTCTATGTGCCAATTATCAGGACACAAAGAAAGGATCCAGTGCATCACAAAGATTATACCCTAAGTGTCTGAAAAAGAATAATTTATACAGTGAGGTTTAAATAAAGTGGCAGAACTGTATGTGGTTATTAGCAGTTATATGATAATAAAAACATCTAAGCAGAGAACAGCAGCTGCCTGTGCTCAGCAGCCAGTGATACAAGGAGAGGATGTTCTTACCTTCCTACTACAGCTGCTGAATGTGCAACAGTGCACGGATGCTTAGTTGAGCATGTGGGATATTACGTCAAAAAAAATAAAATCATTAGAAATGAGAGCAGTCCCATTTTAAGGCAATTTGTTATCCACTGGGTGGCAGCAGATTTCCTAATGTCACATAAGGACAAACACGAATACTCAACCAGAATTCCATGAATGAACTTTTCCAGGTAAAGGCTCTTTCAGCTGTCTCAAGTGGTAGAGCATATGTGGGAGCCATCGTCTGTATAATGTAGTTATATATAATGTAGTTATATATAATGTAGTTACCCTGATGTAACCCACTGGTCCCATTTATGAAATCTCACGATGAGCATTTCTGCTGTTGTTGTTTTGGTGTTTTAAAGACAGATTTTAACCACAGGGGTGCGAATCTGATAAGATAAGATACGGTGGACAGTTTTCCCCACTGACTTCTATAAGACTGGAACACAACCACAGGATTCACCCCTATATTAGAAAGAATGCACATTCAAAGCACTTTTCATACTTGATCCATGTCTTGTGCTCCTCCTTGTCCATTATGGGAGCTTGGTTTGTTATTGGAATTCACCGATCTAACCACTAACTTCTTGAGCTCCACGAGGTCACCAGTAAACCACTCGGGCAGGTTTAGGGTTAGGTTGAAGTAAAACATTTCAGAAAATAGAAAATGTTACCCTTTAAACAAAATTAATTTGCATTTCAGTATCTGTGTGGAAAGAGGTTAATATCTGACTACAGCTACTCTGTCCATTTAAGCATTTGTTAATTCTGTTATAGCACTGTTGATACGCTGCTCAGTCCAAAGGGATCAGCTGTTTTCTTGAGGTGGTTTCAAGTCTAATTAGAAAGAAACAACAACCTTCCCCAGATCTTTGCTCAGCTTTCTGCCTTTGAGGTTGTTATTTACTACAGTCAGTATATATCACAGATACAAACACAGGGGCCTAAAGCTGGCTCTATAACGACAAATACAACAGAAGCCACATTAGTCAAATCAATATGGATCGATGCAGAGGACCGCCTACACGTTCTCAGCATTCGTTAATAGTTTGATCTGTGTTGGGATCAATAGGGAAGCAAAAGCAGGAAAACTGTGTAAAGATAAGAAATGTTGTTTGCTGGCAGGGACGCAAAGTAAACCAAAAGTAGTGGCAAACTCCAAGAAGGAAGAGTCCACACAAAGAAATAAATCCACAAAGGAAAACAAGCAAGTAAAGAGCCAGGGAGAAATGGAACAGGATAACCAGCAAAACCAACAAGACGAAGAAATGACATGTTCGAACATGTGATGATGGACGGGATATGTACAAATGGGGACAGAATTATTAGTCCCCTAATGAAAATTTCAATTTTGGAAAGTATTTCCCAAAAGCTTTGTTTGACAGCACTGCCAGCTGCCAGTACTCCGGTTTTAATATAAAACTGTAACAGGGACAAAGCAGACAGAGTAACCAGTAAAACATACACTCAAACTTCAGGACAATACAAACAACTCCACCTAAGAATTACAGCAACTAACAATAACCATCATGCAGGCCATGGCAAATATAGATGAGGACAAGATTATTAGCCTCATTTACCAAATGTAAAGTTTTTGTCTAAATCTTTCCAACTGCATTTTTTCAACAGAGCAAAGGATTTTCAATAGTTTTCTCAAAAAAATTAAAATATTTTCTATTTGCAAACGATAACAGAACCATTTTAGAAAAAACAAAGATTACCAGGATCAAAATTACAAGCCCTCAGAAACTCCGTTTTGCATTTATAGTTTGTATAGTTTTATATATTTTATACAGTAATGAAACCTTTCTGGGGGGGTTTGTACGAAGAGAGCAAAGTGAACCTGGGAGAAATTCCTTGTTTGTGTGCAAATATTGGCCAAATGAAAATGATTGTGATTCTGGCCTCTTTATTGAGCCACAAAATCACTGCTGTGCAAGGCTGTGGGTTAACTCTGTAATGCTCAAAGTTTGTAAAATCACTGGTGGCCTGCAGGCTGAGTGAATACAGGATCTGTTTTTGTGTGTCTTTATACACATTTGCATGTATAAAGAGTGGCAGCTTTAAGTTTTGTGAGAAATATTAATGTAAAATCTGCAGGGCATCAAATGTGAGATGTAGTGCTTAACATTTAAGTTCTATATCTAAAAGTGTATCTTTTATTAGGTTGTAAACACCAGCGTTGACGACTGTACCTGTTAGGTTGTTAAATGTTGCCATTATTGTACTGAAATTTGTAAGTCTTGGTTCTTGGTGGGATCAAAGACCTTTGTTTCTGACCCCTCCCAGCCTGTTGAATGGTGGGGGAGGCTGTAGTGTTTTATTATAGGCACATCCTATGTGAAGGTTCTGGTTTCTTGCTTAGTAAACTTCCTGCCTTTATGACTCTTTGGTGAGCAGGAGGTCACACAAACGGCTGAGCCTTTCAGGGAGCTCTGTTTAGTTTTAGCAGCGGCAAGCCTGCGCTGCGAGGAGGAGAGGAGGATGGCAGCAAAAAGGAAGAACCTGGATATAAGAAAGTATTTTTCAAAGAAACCTGTACTTAAAGCCAAATTAACTCATAAAATGTGTCCGTCGTAATAACGTTACAGGCTATGCTAGGCTTTGGCCCACATCAGTCTAAAACTGTATGTAACCATGAATAACGTGTTTTGGAAACTAACTGCACAACAGGCGGCACTGTTAGTTCTCTCAGTCTCCCAGAGCAGCATTTCTAATTTTGATTGAAACTGTCAGAGAAAACGGCAGCCTCGAGCAAGCCAGGATATTAGTTTACAGAGGAAGTTAAAATTATATGTCTAATGTTAAAATGTTGGTAACACAATCATTTCATCCTAATGGTACTGACATATTCATAGGGTTCATTTTTGAGACAAAATATCATGAGGTAGTCATGATTTCGCAAATAATCCACCTTGTAGTGCAGTTTGCACAAATTGTTTTAAAAATGCACTCACGCTACAAACATTACAGATGAGTCAAGATCTGCACAAATTGACAGAAACACATTTTATTCTTATTGTCATGTATGTCTGTTAAGATATTCATTGTGTGTACTCATGTTGTACAGTGTTTAACTGCATTATGGTTACTGGGGTTTAACAGAGACAGTATTTTAGTTGTCACCACAAGGAGGCACTGTTTCATTGTAAGAGCACGGATGCTGCGTCATCACGCCCCTAAGAAGAAAAAAGTATAACACAACGAAAATGGCACCCATGAGGAAAGTTTTGCCGCGTGTTGATGTGGAATAAAGTTCCCAAAATATTAAGGACATTTTTGCCTCCGTCGTCATTTTCCTTCGAGTTGATCGCTGTCGATGCTGCAATACTCAACAATGTCCTATTTGTCAGGTGACAGAAGAACCAACACAAAGCTCAGAGAGTAATGGTTACACAAGATCACAGGTGGAATCACAGTGATGACGCGACGAATCCTACTTCCGGGTCTAAATGTAGTCTGCGTTTAATATGGCTTTTGTGTTGTTAACATGTTTAATGTTATGTATTTTCTTCTATTTGATCTCAAAAAGCTCCTAAAACAGTCAGTGATCCCTGTTGACCTCCCTCGGCTTTTATTACCGCTAATCATTTATCCTAACCTTAGGATGTAACTACAGCCCAGCCCATGCAGCAGTATATGAATGACTAACCTCGTATTATGGATGGATTATCTCAGTTGTTCTCTGGCTGAAGTTTGGTCCTTTTACAGCATCCTGCCATGCGATTACATTTGTTCCTGACCACCGAGAACACTCACGTTAACTTTTATCCAGTGGAAAAAAGTTAGCTTGTTTATATTATGCTAACATAGCTGTGTCGCTAGCGGTCACGTAGCACATCATTATATACCAGCTAGCCAAACTTCAGTAACCCTACAAACGTCACTGCTGTTTAGTTTTCTGTCTTCATTTATGCTGGAAGTGATAGCAGAGCTGTACGTTTTAATTTGTTTCCAAAACCCCGCAGTCAGGACATGCTATATTGTATTTAGATAGAAGCTAGCGAGCTAACTCCCTGCTAACTTCTAACTCCATTAAATGTCATAAATTCCGTTTTCATGGATGCCTGGATGTTAAACTCAATTGTTACACCTGGTAGAGCAGAA